TACGAGAAGAATAACGAAGTACAGTAAACGGAAAATGCTAAATTGTTCATAATTAACATAATGCATTAAAATAATATGGTAAGACATACCAGACACATTACATTTACAAAAATAAGGTGGATAGTGCAGCGTTTCTCTGGTCCAAAACCGATCTGCCGGGTCATAAACAGTTAAAACAATGATAAATGCAGATCATAAAATTCTAACCATTAACCAGTGAACTCACTACATAATGTAATAATAGTGAGCAATGTATGAATAGATAACTAATATAACACCTTATCAACTTTTCAAAGGGAAGAGAAAATACTTCCCAATTCTCATATCTTCTGCTGTTGATGTCAAAGGTTTGTGTCCAAGCAAATGCTACAGTACTTCTGTTACGTGATTACATGGTGAATTTTAACATATCAATATTAATAAACATTAAGTCACTATAATCCATTTCTAGGTTAATCTTCCTGAAGAGTCAAACACTGACTCTGAGACATGTTCACAACATTGATCTGTTTGTTCTAGCGGCCCATCATGTTAACTTCTGAATCAACCAATCATGTGAGCTTGGGGCAGGGCTGTCTTTCTGGCTGACCAATGAGAAGGGAGGGGGGAGTGTTTGAGAAACCTGTTTTTAAAACAGTTGTTATCTTTGCAATTATGTTGAGCTAGTGTTGCGAAATGACACATTGTTGTTGCTTTTGTACGATAAACAGTTTTGGTAATGTGTAAAGTCAAGTGTAAAATACAGAACTGAAGCAACACCAGTTGAAATCTCAAAACAGTGGCTGGTTGCATAAACCGCTTAGCCTAGTTTTACAAGTTAGTCATCTAGTTTTCACTTTAAGACTAGACATAACTTTAAATCAGTTACATAAAAATGTAGATTGCATAGCATTTTTTGACAGTGAAGGTACCAAGTGTTACTTTTTATTTTTCGACTCTTTAACATGTCCGAAGCATGTCCATACTTAAATGTATTTATTGATTAATTTTTATCAGTTCACATACAGTAGCTAATGTGACAAAAGTAACCAAGTTTCATTGCAGTCCGATGAAGCAATTTTTTCCCGATTCGTTTCCTATGTCGGTCATTTTTGACCATGAAGATATCAAGTGAAGGTACCAAGTGTTACTTTTTATTTTTCTACCCTTTATCATATCCGTATCATGTCCATGATATATATATATATATATTTTTTTTCCTGTTCACATAGCTAATGCGACAAAAAACATCACATTCCAATGAAGCAAAAAAAATCAAAAAATTCAAAATGTAACATTTTCCGGTCAAAAGTGACCAAAGAGGCCCAGAGACGCAGTCTTAGCATATTGGCTATGTTTACGCAACTGGACCCAGAATTTGTAACTCTCTCCTGAACTCATCCTATATGATCTTGGATAGGGTTGACCCCCGCGGCCGACCCCTGGTCCCCTCGACTCGCCCCTGATGACTGACCTCTCTGGGCCAGGTAGTCACGGTAGTTGCGCGTCAGCAGCGTGTAAAGCAGCGGGTTGATGCAGCTGTTTCCGTACGTCAGGCAGGTGACGAAGAAGTTGACGTAGGTGTGAGCGGCGGCCGACAGCGAGCGGAGCGACTCGGATGAGAAGAGCTTCGCCATCTGCCAACCCCAGAATGGCAGAAAACACGTCCAGTACGCCACCACGATGCAGAAAATCATGCCCACCACCTTGTGCTTCAGTCGGCGCCTGCGAACGGACGACGAGGATCCGTGAGTCAGGTTAGCCTGGGCGGCCCAGTAATGCCGGGCGAGACCCGTGTAGAGTCCTACCATCAGCAGGCCTGGCAGGAGCATGCTGGTGAAGAAGAGCGCGGTCAGATACGCCTTGAAAGCCTCAGGTGTCCATGTTGGGAAGCAGATGCGTTTGACGAGGCCCACCGTACTGGGACGTCCCTCGCGGAGACGGATCATCACCATCATAGGGAGCGTCAACACGAACGCTGCCGCCCAGATTCCCAACGCCATCAGCCAGTGATTACGTGCGGTCGAGCGACGGGCTCGGAATGGAGCGGCCACGGCGCGGTAGCGCTCCAGACTCATGGCCACCAGCACAAACACGCTGGCATGCATGGTGAGCAGATCCAGACTCAACAGCAGCCTGCAGCCCATTTCCCCAAAGAACCAGTCGTGGGCGAAGTAGGTGCAGACTACGAACGGGATGGTGCCCAGATAGAGCAGATCCGCCGCCGCCAGGTTGAGGATGAAGACGTACATAGAGCCGGTGCGCCGTAACGTGGCCGATCGCATGATGGCGAGGGTGTCTTCCATTCACACTCACGTTCAAACACATGTCCACTAATATCCTCCTCCAGCTCACAAGAACAATCACAATCAGACCTCAAACACATGGTTAGATCAGTACTTTATTAAAAAGCTGCACTAAACCCTGAGGGATTATAACACTACAGGAAAAGACAATTCTGTCCAGATTTAGTCACCTTCATGTTCATGCTTCAGAATCTTCTCTTGCAGTGTAGCTCTGAAATCTCATTTGTGGCCATACGTGTTTAAATATTCTGATTGAACGATCATGTGACACACTAGAACCAATGAGATTTGAGAGCTGCAGTAGATTTACAGTGACTTATATTTCAGCCTGTTCGGCACACAAACCATCATATGACAGAAAACCTAAAAAATACAGTATTCCATTCACACTCACGTTCAAACACATGTCCACTAATATCCTCCTCCAGCTCACAAGAGCAATCACAATCAGACCTCAAACACATGGTTAGATCAGTACTTTATTAAAAAGCTGCACTAAACCCTGAGGGATCATAACATTACAGGAAAAGACAATTCTGTCCAGATTTAGTCACCTTCATGTTCATGCTTCAGAATCTTCTCTTGCAGTGTAGCTCTGAAATCTCATTTGTGGTCATACGTGTTTAAATATTCTGATTGAACGATCATGTGACACACTAGAACCAATGAGATTTGAGAGCTGCAGTAGATTTACAGTGACTTATATTTCAGCCTGTTCGGCACACAAACCATCATATGACAGAAAACCTAAAAAATACAGTGTTTTCCATTAATCTATATGTATGTATATATATATATATATATATATATAAACTTAACTTGAAAATCACAAATCTGGTTTTTGCTTTGTCATTATGGGGTGTGGAATGTAGATTAATGGAAAAAAGATTGCAACATGACAAGATGTGATAAAAAATGTGTGTGTGTGTGTGTGTCTGTGCATGTGAGTGTGGTGTTACCTGTGTACTCCTGTGGGCTCATGCGAGTGTTCATGACGGCATTAAAATGGCTCATCCAATCCTTCTGCTCCGTATCTGTTTCGCAGGTGAACAGGAAGCTGCGGTCGGGCGTTTCTATGGTGATGCCGTACTGCCACGTCCCGCTGTAGTGGGTTCCGGCGGGGAGTCCGATCGTAACGTGGTATCCGTGATCTCTGTGCCCCAGGAACACCTCGCCTTTAGCAAACGCATCCTGCCAGACACAAGAGAAACTGCTTTCAGATTTGACAAGTTCTCGTTCCTTACTGTAAACGGTTATTTTGGCAAACAGAGGCGAGTTACTTCTTACGATAACGGACATCATGCCACAAAACACATGAAATGTGCTGTACTGTGTATAATTTTCTCATTTTTTAATGCAATTTCTTCATTTAATGTTAATTATTTTATGTAAGAGTAATATGTTATTACTCAAACTATATCCATGTGCTTTTTTCCAATCATCAGCCAGATTTCAGGTTTAAATGCATGTGAATGTAAAAAAGAAAGTGTGTAGCTTTCGAACTGCAATGATATTTTGTCTTCACTCATTCGTTTAAATTGGTCTTAAGTACAAATATGACAAAACATCTCTCAATTACTATGGTCATAAAAACGGCACGCACATTAATAATTATTATTTTTTTAATTTATATATTTTATTTACTGCAATTTACTACAAATATATATCAATTTCTTTATTACCAATTTGTTTATATTTCTTTATTCATTTTGTTGTTGTTTTTTTACCGAAAACAAACAAAACAAAACAAAAAATGTTGTTGAATTTAACAGAAGAGTTTACCATATACTATACCAATTTAAAACATTATTTGCAAAATATTAGTTTTTTTTATTAAGTAACATATTTTTGTGTACTCATGATAGTACTGAACTGTATTATTTATGTGTTTATTTTGTTATTAATTTAGTTTAATCAAATGTTTATTTTTATTTAATCTATTTTGATTGGTTACTTATTAATTTTTATAATTCCTCGTCTGTTTGATTACGTCATTATCTGAATTTTACCGTACATTTCTGCCATACGTACATCAAATTGGCAAAGTCACCACTGACAAGCTACTACTAAATATATTGTAGAAACTTCTTTTTCTGTAAAGCTGCTTTGCAACGATTTGTATCGTGAATTTTATGGACTGTGTCCTGATCCTGGGAGAGTAGACTACAATGCCGGCTGTTCTGACTCTCAGACTGTAAGTACGGTTTTTATATTTAAAGGATTTGCCACTGACGATTCAAACGAGAGTTTTGAGCAGTGTAGAGTAGCACTTGTTGTTTGTCATTTCTCCGATCACAAATGCAGACAGGGTTTTATGTTTACGCGGCGCCATGCAATGCGTAAAAAGACAGTATAAGTCATTATAATCAGTAATTATGTCCCCACTGGATGCAACAAATGCCTCGTTTATAATGGGTTTTAATGTTTTTGTCTCATCTCTCCGGGACACGGCAGCACAGTATGGTGAGGGGTGTAACATTTCCGTCACACGCTTGCTTGACAAAGTCACCACTGACAAGCTACTACTAAATATATTGTAGAAACTTCTTTTTCTGTAAAGCTGCTTTGCAACGATTTGTATCGTGAATTTTATGGACTGTTTCCTGATCCTGGGAGAGTAGACTACAATGCCGGCTGTTCTGACTCACAGACTGTAAGTACGGTTTTTATATTTAAAGAATTTGCCGCTGATGATTCAAACGAGAGTTTTGAGCAGTGTAGAGTAGCACTTGTTGTTTGTCATTTCTCCGATCACAAATGCAGACAGGGTTTTATGTTTACGCGGCGCCATGCAATGCGTAAAAAGACAGTATAAGTCATTATAATCAGTAATTATGTCCCCACTGGATGCAACAAATGCCTCGTTTATAATGGGTTTTAATGTTTTTGTCTCATCTCTCCGGGACACGGCAGCACAGTATGGTGAGGGGTGTAACATTTCCGTCACACGCTTGAGGTATTCGGCCAATCACAACGCACTGGATAGCTGGCCAATCACAGCACACCTCGCTTTTCAGACCGATGAGCTTTGTAAAAATCGACGTGTTTCAGAAAGGCAGGGCATAGAGGAGAAACAATAATGTACAGTATGTGGAAAATAATGTGTTCTTTGAACCTTAAACCACATAAACACATTTCATTACACCAAATACACAACATAATGTTCTTTTTAGCAGCATCATATGACCCCTTTAAACACAGGAACACTGCTGATCTCAGAGCAGGTGCTAACACCTGATGACATTTCCCTCTCATCGAACCTGTCTCTCAATCTGACCGCTTCATTACTGGGTTACAGGAGCGACATGAGCAGACGAGAGACGTCTCACCAGAGGATCTCTGAAGTACATGAGCCGCCGGTGATCCAGCGTGAACCAGCGCTTCTTAAAGCCTTCTGTTTGCTGCAGAAACACATCAGACGACACACAAACCAGCTCCATGTCAATCAAAACAGACCTCCTTAATATACCATCCTAGTCTTATTCATTACTGATGATATTCACCGTATTTATTTGGTATAATGAGCAGGAAAAAGCTGGTCACTCTCACTATATAAACCCGACAGGACGATCAGGAGCAGATGCAACATAATCTAATCACATCTTGATAAATAAAATCAAAGCCAATCCTACATTATTTTCTGTCATTCTGTTTCATTTAGAAATGTCACATTGCATTATGAATGCTCTTTCCTGCTGTTGTTAAATACAGTCAAAGCTAAAATTATTCAGACACCAGATATATTTTTTTATGTTATTTTTTTTCACTAGTGGGTGCAGGACACTATAGTTAATTTATGTAAGTGAGGATAGCTAAATAAAACAAACTGTGACATATTACACCCAGAAATTATTCATACAGTGGACTACCAGTTAAACTGGGGGACCAAAAATTATTCAGACACTTTGACCTGACCATATTTCGCTTATGTGTTTTTTATTTAATTGCTAATGCAAACTTTTTACACCACAGACTGAACAAAATGAAGCATAGCTTGGTACTTAGTTGACCTAAATTGGTATTATCTAATTGTGCACTTAAATACAACAGCTGAATAACTGTTGGTTGATTGTAATCCATTATATACCTTTCTATCAAAGTTATCTGACATTATCAAGATTAATTCACATATGTTACATGTACTTACTATTATTATAATAATAAACGATGCATAATTACATGCAAGTTACACTAAGCCAAACCTGCATCCTAACCCTAACCATACAGTAAGTACATGTAGGCAATTAATATTACTCATTACGCAATGTATAATTACACTGTAATAAAATAAAGTGTATGGCAAGTGTTGTATTTTGTTCGGTTGTGACTTCTGAGAGGAGTTGTTGTGAATTATGGCATGAGCGCGTCTCACCCGCGGGCCGGTTTTCTCCATGTATCCCTCTTTCAGAAAGCTGCGTGGGAGTTTGGGCTTCAGCTGAGCAGAAAGAGAAGCTGTGAGTGACGTCACAAACTCACGCGAGGAACGAAACGAGCGCCGGTGTTTCAGGACTCACCTCAGCGTCCGTGGCTCCAGGGAAGGCCACCTTCAGATAGTGCAGCTGCGCCGCTCGGATGCAGTTAAACCACTCCACGATCTCCTGAGAGAGACAGAGACACAGAGACGTGTGTCAGAGCCTCTCTTACACTACCAGTCAAAAGATTTTCAACAGTAAGATCTTTAATGTTTTTTTATAGAAGTCTTTTCTGCTCACCAAGCCAATAGATCACTATTTTCAAAGTACAGCAAAAGCAGTAAAATTGTGAAATATTTTTACTATTTAAAAATAAATTGTGTGTGAGTGTGAGTGTGAGTGTGTGTGTGTGTGTGTGTGTGTGTGTGTGTGTGTGTGTGTGTGTGAGTGTGAGTAAGAGTGTGAGTGTGAGTGTGTGTGTGTGTGTGTGTGTGTGTGTGTCTGTCTACGGCTCACTCTGCTGCTGTCGTGGTAGATGAAGATGTTTCGTGTGATGTTGTCTCTCAGGTAGGTGATCTGCAGGCCGTTGGGGTTTCCGATCTTATCCGGCTGGAAGCAGGCGTTGATGGTGTCCACCTTTATAACAGCTTTGGGTACCTTAGCCTACAGAGACGCAGCAGATACAGTGTTAAAGGACGAATTTGCACATTTTCAACAAATGAGCAATGTGTATTATTTTCACCCCGTTTGTTTGTCAGCAAAAGTCTTTTGTGAAGACTACAGACTGTACTTCCACATTTTTGTATCCCCACTGACAGATACTGATTGAGCTCAGTGCATTAAGGGTGTTTTTTTGCCACAACCCATTTTCTCTGTTTTCTTTAGTAAGTAAATAAATAAAATCACATCTTGCTAAAACTTAAACTAAAACCATTTAAAAACTGATGTAATGAACAGTATACGATATAACTTAACACAATCTAATCTCGATGAATAAAATCAAGGAAAGTCCTACATTATTTCCTGCTTTTCTGTTTCATTCAGAAATGTCACATTACAGAAGAAATGCAGTATGACTGCTCTTTCATGTTCATGTTGTTAAACACATTGTATCATAAAGATTTAAAAAGTAACAAAGTATCATAAGTGCTAATAAAATTAATAAAAACTATATAGACACAAATTAAAATGACAAAAACACAACAAAACGACTAAAATGTTAACTAATATTACACATTTAAAAAATATAAAAAAAAACTCTAATCTTAACAAAAACTATAGTAGTCTGTCAGTGATACTGCTGCATGCTTGCGCTGACACTCACATCGAGTTTAGTGTAGTACTTTAGTGTGCCGTCCCTCAGCGACAGGATGAATCGTCTGTTGAGGAACTGTCCATTGTCCCGCCCCCTCTTCATTAGCATGCCGTCTCTCGACTCTGTGATTGGTCAAACGAGCGTGTCAATCATCAGGCAGGAAACAGAAAGTGAGTATTCTGAGATTCACTCACACACACACACACACACACACACACACTTTTGTTTCTGTGAATTGTGGGGACTTTCCATAGACTTCTGTTACTTTTATACTGACCAAACGATATTTTCTCTCTGCTAACTCTAAACCTACCCCTTACAGAAAACCTGTTTGCATTCTTACACTTTCAGATAAACATCATTCACTATTTTTACTCTTTTTTTTTCCCTCGAAGGAATTTTTGGTCAAAAAAAATTTCCGGTTTTACTATCCTTGTGGGGACATTTGGTCTCACACACAAACGCACTCGCACGCACGCACACACACGCACACACACTCACACACACAGGTTTGTTTTTGTAAGACAGATTTGCGTTATCTTCTGACTTTGTAAAGCCGGCCGATCAGCTAAATTAACTCAATTAAGTGGCCAGAAGTTGAAGTGACCCTGATCTCACCCTAATATAACGCCTGCCAGAGCATCTAAGAGCCTGATATGGTGATATCTCCATATGCAGCTGTGTGTTAATGTGATGTGAGATGCGGCTGGTTGCCATGGAAACTCACTGGCAGTCTCTGTGTGTGGGTTTGTAGTAGTAAACAGGAAGTGCAGCCTCATAGACGGCGTTCATGGCATCATTTCCTCGCTCAGACATGAACTACAAACACAGACATCAGCAAACAGGCAGCTCTGTATGATTTACAGCTGACACTGAAATCTCACGCTGTTTTAAACAGTGGAAGAGAAATTATGAGTCTTCATGCAGCTCTTTTCAGTACAATTCATCGTGAACATATAAAGTTCCAGAGATAAATAACATGAATGTATCATAAAGGGTCATATGACTCATATGCGCTATATTCTTCAGAAGTCATATGACGATTTGTTTGAGGAACAGACTGAAAATTAAGCTTTGAATGAAGGTCGGCTTGACAGTCACAGAAACTATAAACTGTTTCCGTGTAGAAAAGAGCTGCATGATTTTCCAAACTGTCTCCTTTTGTTGCTCCATGAAAAATAACACCAAACAGATCAGTGTTGTTATAGTTAACTAACGCTAAAACTATTAGAAATCATTTTCATAATTGAAATAAAGCTGAAATAACGTTTAAATATTTGATGAAACATTTTAACTTCACAATATATATATAAAAAAAATAATATAAAAAAATGCTATAATAGTATTACAAAAACTTATATAAAGTTAATTACTAAAATTAAAAGTGAAATAAAAATATTATATATATATATATTTTAAAAAAAAACTAATAAACATTAGAAAACCGCATAATATAACTACTAAAGCAAACGAAAACTGAAAATATAAAATAATAAATAAACAATAACAATCTAATATACAACATAATTGGTCACACTTTCTCTTAAGGTCCAATTCTTGTGATTAACAAACCATTAACTATGACTTTTGCCTCAGTAAACCCCTAATTTGCAGCTTATTAATAGTGTAGAGAAGTGTGATTGTTTTCTGAATAGAAATCTTAATGAACACCTGAACTTCTGAATCCTCCCAGTGTGAGAGTCGGAGCGATTTGACTTTTCCGAGATCGGGAATACTGCGATGGACTCCGGAGCAGCCCAGACAGATGAACACGCCTAGAGAACAGGAGCCACATTCCGGATCTGAGAGAGAGAAATAATAAATAAACCAGCTGTTAACACACGAGCTGTCAGCATTCGATCTGGCTCTTCTAGCCTGACACAAAACAGTGACGATGTAATCGGCAGGTTTAATATCCGGAGATAAATCCTGGAGCGAGTTTTTGAGATCCAGATGAACGGATCATCCTGTAACTTTGAGATCACAGTGCTGTTACTGACACACAAACTCAGACTCGAGAGCACAGACACGATTCATACAGTGACAGAATAGAAGAGATACTGAAGACCGACTCGCATCAGAATTACTGGAAAACAGCTGAAGAGCAAAAGAACTCCGACACACACCAGAAAGCAGTAAGACGAGCTTATTAAGAAACCCTGAAGCTAAAGAAACACAAACCATTAACATCCGCCTCAAGCTACAGAAACACAGCGAGGACATTCCTGCATTATCTGATAAAAACAGGCGCAAAACACACAACACTGACTTACAGAGAAATATGAGATCAAACGATAACACTTCTGCACAGTGAAGAAGATTTAGACCAGAAAACTAAATACAGATGTCATTATGTACTTTACAAATACTCCATACACTGTACCTCATTCATTTATAAAAAATATGAGTGTACGTTTTTTATGCTTTTGAAGTATTTGAAATGCACACATGTGTGTGTGTGTGTGTGTGTGTGTGTGTGTGTGTGTGTGAGTGTGAGTGTGTGTGTGTGTGTGCAGAGCTGGGTCATACATTTATTTATAATAATTAATAGATCATTTATTGATTCTCCATAATTCCTCTTTTTCATCTTTGAAATTTTCCTTTCTAGAATTCACACAGAGATCAGTCATTAGTCAGCATTTGAGCACCGGATTTTACAGAGTTTCAACATTGCATTCAATTCTGATGAACACGTTCATTTGTATTAGAATCATCACTCAGTCAGTAATTTTACCATGTATTACTTTAGAAGGCGTTTGTCTTTCAAACACATCAACAAACACCTACCACTGAGATATTAAAATACATATTTTAATAATGAAGCATCACAATTGTATGTTCACGGTTCTCTGACTTTATGGTTATGTTCACATGCATGTAAACACATTTTATTTCAGCAAGTGTTTAATTTTGAATAATTTTAAAATTATTTGTTTTAATTTATGTTTATGATTTAATTAATTATTAGCTTTTTGATAAAACTCATAAAGCCTGAAACAATATAATGTTTAATGCACTTCAAGTTTTTGATAACAACAAATGAAATATGATATATATGTAAAATATAAATACTGATAAAAAATGTATAGCCTGAATGCACTGTAAGTCGCTTTGGATAAAAGCGTCTGCTAACTGCATAAATTTAATTTAATTTAATTTAAAATATATAAAAAAAACTCTTTGTATTTTATATCAATATGGTACAAGATTATCCTATTTAAATCAATGTGATACATGAGGTTAAATGATCTAATGATTATATTATATGGATTACGTTACTAACTATATTTTTTTGTTCTGAATACACTGTGAGAATATTATTGAATATTATAAATATATGCAAATCATAGCTCGTGTGATAGCTTGAAGGAACAGTTCACCCAAAAATGAAAATTCCCTCAAACCTGTATGACCTGATGCAGACCACAAAATATGATATTTCTGAAGAATGTTTGCAACCAGACTGTTTAGGTTTCCACTGACTTTCATTTTACACAATGAAAAAAAAAATGCAAAGAAATACAATGAAAGTAAATGGAAACTGAAACAATGCAGCATCAGGTCGTACAGGTTTGGAACGACACGTACATGATGAATGTTTTTGTTGTCCTTTAAATCCTCATGACACCATGACCGCAAACTCTTGTTTACTGTAAAAACAATCACCCTGAACATGATCCTCGTGTGATTTAAATCAGGTAAAATCATGATATATTAAACACGACAATATGACAATAAAGCTGAACCAAAGACTTTAGATATACAAATACGGTGCATTACTTATTAATGGGATTAAATGTGCATTCATGCAATGATGTAATTACTGTAATTACAAGATTACGACTTGTAAAAAGCATTCACATCCTTGTAGACCTCATGAACACAACTTCGTAAACTGGGAATTTTCTGAGAGCTACAACCGCATATACTGCCTTCTGAATAAAAGAGCATATCGCTGGCTGGTTAAGTCATGAGGTCACTGCATAGATATGTATATGTAGATTCCACATTTAGCTGCTCCAGACACATCTTGGAACGGTCAACACATCGTCACTTGTAGTGAAAATCGATCCCTGCATCTCAGTGTGCATCCTACATAGTATGTGAGATTAGAATAAGTGTGTCCTAAAGCATAGTATGTGTATGCCAAAAGTCCCCAGATGGTCTACTATTTTCGGCAGATTTTTGAAGTGTATCTTCATGGAACATGGTCTTTACTTAATATCCTAATGATTTTTGGCATAAAAGAGAAATGTATAATTGTGACCCATACAATGTATTGTTGGCTATTGCTACAAATATCCCCCAGCGACTTAACACTGCTTTTGTGCTGCAGGGACACATATGCCGGATGCAATTATGAGAAAGTAGTGTGTCCCAAAGCTTGCATATTTTCTGCTAGATACTCAAAAGTATACACTTTTTCTTTAAAAAAAAATAAATGATATATATTTCTAGGGCATAGTATAAGTAGGCGATTTGGGACACAGCTTTGGTCTTGCATGCCTGAAAATAGCTGCCCAGAGGCATTACAAATGTGGCCTCCGAGTGAACAGACTTTCCTTAAAAGGGACTGTGGCTGAAAATGCCACAATAGAACGGCTCTTTCTGTCTTTCTTCATGTGTTACAGTGGACAGTGTGGAGAAACACACTTCCTGTTTCTTCATCAGTCTCCTCGACCGCTCCCACATCCCCCTCTCTCTCTCTCTCTCTCTAGAAATATGTAGAAATCACACACAGCCACACCTTCAGTCTATATCTGACCCCGTCTCCACCAGCAGCAGCTCCTCTCCAGACAAACTCAATCCTGAGCTCTGGAATACCTTTATAACTCCTAAGTGAATCATCCTGAATCAGAAGGAAAATATTCTGCTGTAGAGTTCCTGAAATCAAACCCTGCCTTACATGAGTACAAACACACCATGCATATAAATAGTACGCCAAATACAAACAGAAAATCGTGCTATTGATATGCAGAAATCTACCCCATCTACCCCACACCCCTAATCCTACCCAGTGCGTATCATATGCACGCCAATGTATAAACAGTACGCCAAATCGAGACATAACTTTCACGAGATCGGGTAACCCATCATCAGCCCTGTCTCTCCTTCACAAACTCCCGCAGGCTCTGATTTCACAGGTATGTCTGGAAACGCATGCGCGCGCTTCTTTTCAGATTCAAAACAGTGGCTCTCCCATCTGACTTTATGAACTCTCACTATAATCGCGTATTATAAAATAAGGTTGTAATATGTTGTATGAAACATCTCGATGCCAAGTCGCCAGAGTTCGTCGTGACGCGCAGTGTTTCAGGTGAGGCAGGTGAGTTATCCTCCGCTCGCGCAGGTTCGGTTCCGGTTGATCGGTGAATGTTTGATGCGTGTAAAGAACAATAACTTACTGTCGGCGCCGCAGTCCGCGCAGCTGCCGTTCCCCGGTTTCTGCAGGACGTGTTTGAGGGTTCTGGCGGCTCGCTCGTTCTCCGTCATCGGTCCGGTGTCTCCTCACGAGCTGCAGGAGGAGCAGGAGGAGGCGCTGGTCTGATGGAGGTGTTGCAAACATTCGGAAGTGGAGCAGCTGAGTTTGTTCAGACTTGTTCCGCATCAGAAACGCCACAGAGTGTGTGTGTGTGTGTGTGTGTGAGTGTGTGTGTGTGTGTGTATTTATTTAGCAGATGTGAGAAACCATTCAGTAAGCTGATCTCAGCTTCATATAAAAATGTATATGACTTTCTATTCATGCATTTAGTGCACACTTATATCCAAAGTGACTTACAATAGAGGAACAATTCTTCACAAGGCCACACCAATATTCATGGAGTACAATGGCAGGTTTATCAGAAAGCAGAGACAGGGGGAAAAAAGTTAGAGCAGAGGTGAAAAGCAAATATTACTTTTATGCAAAAATAAAATGCAAAGATTTTTTACACTCTGATGAAGGATTTAATAATCATAGATGACTTACATGTCTGGTTTCACTGTCACTATTTGTCCACATGGTGGAGGCAGGTCACTGTGAATCAGTCGCTCTGCACTGAAACAGACGAGTCAAGTATCTGATCAGCTGAAATAATCATTTGTACTGATCACAACAGAGAGATACAGGAATATATGATGCTCTATGTACAGATGAATCTGCAGCAGGATTCCTCACAATTTATGAATTCAGAAGAATGTTTTGCTTTTATTATAATAGGTTCTCAGTGTGAACTTACCAAACTCTCTTCACTGAAGCTGCAGGTGGATCCGTGTGTTTGTGATCAATGAATAAGTGAGATGAGTTTAACAGCTGGACGCATGACTTCTCCTTCAGAGCATCAGTCCTCTGAGTTCAGCACAGATCTTCATCAGACTGACCGATCGCAGTGATACAGTAGATCAGATGTGCTGTGACTGTAACACTGTCTCCATGGCAACCCCAAATGATGCTGCCACAACGACCACCGAAATAGCACAAATAAATAAAGAACTAAAGGAGGGAGTGCCATGCAGGCTTCTTCACGGACATTACAGCAGATCGAATGATAATTCTGTTGCTCCATTAATGTTCAATACAAACGTATATATTTTTTCTGCAATTATACATTTTAGGCGCAGTGAATAGCACTTTTTTTCCCCCTTAAGGTGTGCCTTTAGCCCCGTTGTACCCCTACTGTGCGATTAGAATTCACAGAGGCTCGTCCTGCTCTACGGATTTTACTATTCGCCTTCATGAGAATCTGCAGGGATGTGGAATTCTGTAATCAAGACGAAGAAAGTCTCGGTTCCCCTTAAAGCTCTTCCTAATTTACGTAACCATCTCTTTGAGAGTCTTTCCGGAGCTGTAGCTAAAGCACTTTTCCTTTAAAGCTGCTGTGGAACAATATATTGTGAAAAAGGTCTATAATGAATAAACTGAATTGAATTGATGAAATGGAGATTCATCAAAGACTCTATTCATACACAAATCTGCTGAAATTACATTTGATTAACTTCCAGAGACCAA